TACCACTCTTTAAGATAATTGAAGAAATTTCTCTCTGTGTGTTTAAGTATTCTAACTAATAATCACTTTTTAGTTTTTTCACAATTAAATGAGATAATACATGAAAATATTTGATTGTTTATTGGTTGTAATTGTAGTGACATTTTCAGCAGAATATGAATTATAGCTTACCTTAAGTTCCTGAGAAATAGAGTAACTGAAGTTAATTTCAGAAAATAGTGGTTCTTGTTAATAATTTGACATGTGTGCACATTCCAACATGAGAGTGCAATAAATAGAAGCACTCAGTAAAAAGTAATTATAACAAGTGTTATTATTTATATCTGGCGTTTCCAACATTAGTTCATTTTCACTTTTAAATCCTTGTCAAAACAAGAATTTAAAAAATATTGAAGATTGATACATTATACTTGCTAAATTTACTTGGAGTTTCCTGGAGTTAATGTCACTTTAGTGAAGGATATACCTTTCAAAATTTTTATAAGAATGAATGAATGACATAATGCATGCAAAGTAGTTTGTTGTTATATTTGTGCTGTTTATATTTGCTGGAGTGATAACACAGTGGGTAGGGTGTTTGCCTTGCACGCGGCTGACCTGGGTTTGATTCCTCCATCCCTCTCAGAGAGCTCAGCAAGCTACCGAGAGTATCCTGTCTGCAGGGCAGAGCCTAGAAAGCTCCCCATGGTGTATGTGATATGCCCCAAAAACAGTAAGAAGTCTCGCAATGGAGACGTTACAGGTGCCCGCTTGAGCAAATTGATGAGCAACAGGACAACAAGTGCTACAGTGCCTGACATTATAATATCACTTGAATTTCTATGGGTTGACATATTTAAAGTACCAAAAATATTTTACCCAACTGATAAACTTAATTTTTCAGGTCTTAAATAACTTTTCTCAAACAATTTGGTATAAGAAACTCTTTATGCTCTCCAAACTATTGAATACTCCAAAGAACTGTTGATTATGTGGATTCTATTTACAATACTTATTGTACTTAAAACTAAAAATGAGAGGCCAACATGCTTGCCTTGCATGCTGCTGAACTTGGTCCAATCCCTGACAACCCTTGCATGCTGCTGAACTTGGTTCAATCCCTGACTACACCCATACCCCCCAAGTCCCTCCAGGAATGATCCCTAAGAAAAGAGTCAGAAGTCCTGAGCACTGCTAGTTGTGACAACAAAAACTCTTAAATTGAGAAACCTTTAAATTATTGACACGTCATTCATTTTATTTAGTCATTGATGTGCTGGTACTGGGGATGAAATTTAGGGTCATTGAATATATTTTCAGTTCCATGTCATTTTAGTTTAAATAACAGTAAAATGAAGCCATGTAATGTTAAGCAATGTTGTTTTATAAAAACTATATTTTGAATAGCAGTTCAGAAAGAGAAGTATTGTCTTACAGCTTAACAATCTCAGTTATGTTTAGTTTTATGAAAAGATAATTGAATTCTCAGTAAGTATCTTCACTGGACTTGTTTTAACAAATTGCTTTGGTTAAAATTTATAAATATAGGGCAGTTTTAAAGGCTATTAACTAGAAAACAGAAATATAGAAAATGGTGTGTATGTTCATTGCAGCACTGTTCACAAGAACCTGAATCTGGAAACAATCCGAGTGCCAAGAACAGACGACTGGTTAAAGAAACTGTGGTACATCTGCACAATGGAATACTATGAAGTTTTTAGGAAAGATGAAGTCATGAAATTTGCTTTCAAGTGGATGGTCATGGGGAGTATAATGCTAAGTGAAATGAGTCAGAAAGAGAGGGGACAGACATAGAATGACTGCACTCATTTGTGGAATATAAAGTATCATAATATGAGACTAACACTCAAGGACAATATAGACAGGGACAGGAAGTTTACTCCACAGTTGGAAGCCTTATGAGCAGGCGGAGAAGGCAACTGGGATAAAGAAGGGATCACTAAGTCAATGATGGTTGGAGGGATTGCTCGAGATGGGAAATGTGTGCTGAAACTACTTAAACTATCAAACATAATGGCTACTATAAAGGAAAACTATAAACTACTATAAAGCACCAAACATGATGGCCTCTCATTATCTGTATTACACACCATAATGCCCATAGTAGAGAGTAAGAAGGAAACTGTTTGCCATAGAGGCCGGGGGAGGGGTGGGACAGGATGGGGGGGTAGGGATACTGGGGACATTTGTGGTTGAAAATGTGTACTGGTGGAGGGATGGGTATTCTATCATTGTATGACTGAAACTCAAACATGAAAGCTTTGTAAGTGTAGCTCACAGTGATTCAATAAATATGTATATATAACTTTTTAAAAAGAGTTTCAAGTGTCCCCAAAGTCCTTGAGCAGAGTTTGAGAACTGCTGATATGAAATTTTAATTTTTCTAGATGTTGAATAAGATAATCCATGTAAAATATATTGTTTCTAATGTTTCAGTTGCTGCTGTTCTTATTGATAACTTGATATTGGCAAAAAGTTTATTATTCCTTGGTTTATTGATTGCATTCACAGTTTCTGAAAAAAATTAAATGAATGTTGGACTATATTTGGTAAAGTAGGTCAACTACTTCCCACTATAGAAATATTTGCATCATAGAGCTCTTAATCAAAATGAGAGTATATTTTCATCTATAATTTTAGTAACATGTATATGTCAGTGCCTGGAACATTAGATTAAAAAGTGTAACTAGTCAGGGGAGGGATGCTGGAGCAATAGTAAAGTGGACAGAGGGCTTGTTTTCTATGATGTCAACCCAGGTTCAATCCTTGGCATCCTATATGGTGCCCCATGCATCACCAGGAATAATTCCTGAGTATAGAGTCAGGAGTACACCCTGAGCATGCCCATAAAAACAAACAAAAAAGTTTAGTTTTAAAATTACTCTTTACTCAATGTGCATAACATTTACAAATAAATGTCAGGGAGAAAACTGGCCTCATATATCTAATAATTGCTTCATCTCATCTGGTGGAACAACTCATTTTTTTTGACAAGGCCAAATTTTAAGATTAGGAGTCTCTTTGGAAAAACAGTAGGATAACAAGAGTATGGTGACACCATTCTAGAACTGACTTCTGGTCAATGAGTGAGGACCTTCAGGAATATTAGTGCAATATTTCTTGTGGAGAACTGAATCTTCACTACAGCACTTGTTTCCTCAGTATAGTAACCTTTTAACCCCATAGGACTTCTCTAATTGATTTCAAATTTCCTAGGTTAAGTCTCTTGCTTCAGACTGTATTTCCCCACAATATTGAATTGTGGGAGATGGTGTGGGGAGGGGGTTGTAATTTTAATGGAGAAGCTCTTCTTTCTCTTTTTTAGTATCTCCTATACAACCCTTTCTTACCATAACAATGGATTTATTTCTGAGCTCTGGGTTCTTTTTAGTATTGTATGACAGACTTGCATATAAAACTCCAGATATGCATGTTTATTGTACAATTTAAGTGGGGGGTTCTATCCCCTTTTCCAAAGACCAGGTCACTCTACTAGTGAACAGTATCACTCATTTTAATCCCCAGATGTAATTCCTACATATCTCCAGTGTCAGCCTAGTCTGTCCCTTCACAGTTGTCTGTCCAGCATCTCTTCTGTGTATGAGGTTTGCAGCTGGAACCCTACAACCTGTGTCCCCCTTGCTCAGCTAGTCTCTCGAGGGCCATAGTCAGTGACTTGCTCTCCCCTCAGTTTAACTAGTTCTCCAATCATGGTCATATGTGCATACTTAAAAATGCAGTATTAAGTTCTCCAGGCTTCAACTTTTTATAGCCACAACAAAGAACAAATTCACAATAATATTTTAATTTTATTTACAACTTATGACTACTTATAGATCTCTTCAAGATGTCACAGTGATTTCTGAACATTTCTGTTTCTTAATTACGCTCAGGCGCAAGATAATCTTCAACTCTCACCTATTTTTTGATATTTTGTTCCTGTTTATTAGTCTAAGTGATTACCTAAAGTACTAACCCTCAGTGTTCTTGAAAAATAAAAATTTGAAGAAATACACAAAGACTCTCTCTCAACTCTGTCATTTCACTGTCTCTTGACCATGAAATAATGTTTCTTATGCATAGAATCTCACAATTATTTTAAGTCAGTCATTTCCATTTTGACTGTATATAATCTCCATTGTCACATTAAATCTGGTGTCTGAAACACATTTGAGAATTGTAATATTCTCACAATCTTTAGTAACTCAGAGCTCCCAGATCCTATCCCCAAAGGACTTACAAACTCAGATAAAAAGTTTTCTCTTTTTGACCTGTTTTCTTGGTAAAAGGGACAGGGGAGTTAAAAATGGATCTTCTCAAACTCAACCCAAACAAACTTGACTGTATTACTCTAACAATGGTAGGCACATCATTGTGGATTCTGAAGAAGATATGTTAAATAAGAATCAATGGCCTTGTTAATGTCATTCAGTAGAAATTTAAATAGCTTCCTTCAACACGTATTTATTAAATGCATTCTATGAGCCTGCACAGTTGTAGGAACTGGAAAGAAATCAAAATGGGGGGCTAGAGAGATGGTACAGTTGGTATGCTACTTGTCTTGCACACAGACCACCTAAATTGGATCCCTGGAATGGGATTTAGTCCCTTAGCCCTGCCATTAGTGATTCCTGAGTACTGAGCAAGGAGTAAGCCCCGAGGGTAGTCAGTTGTTGTCCTGGACAACCAAAACAATAACATAAACACAACTTACTCTTATAAGCAACTGTATCTGACATTGCTTAGTTCATAGTGTTAATGCCAGGCCTAAAGAAGAATTTGTAGAAGGCATTCCCAAATTAAAAAAACACCTGTTTTCTGATATATGGCTACTCTTTTATATGATTGTGATATTGTGAATAGCTTTCAATAAATGATAGTTCTGTGTTTTCTTTGACAAAATGTAACTGAATATATGCCATTATATATATCTGCTCAATCTTTCGATGTTGTCATAGTGTTGATCTTTTTTTTCCTTTTTTTTTTTTTTGTTCCTTCAGGTATTTCCATTCCTATCCCAGTCATAGGGCTGAGAAATGAAGAGAAAGTGTTCGCCAACAATACCACCTGCGTGCTGAATGACCCAAATTTTGTTCTTGTTGGGTCCTTCGTAGCTTTCTTCATCCCGCTGACGATCATGGTAATCACCTACTTCCTGACCATCTATGTTCTTCGAAGACAAGCTCGAATGTTGCTTCTGGGCCGCGATGAGGAAGCGGCAGACATACACCTGGATTTCCTCAAGTGCCTGAAGTGTTGCAAGAGGAATGAGAGGGATGAAGAGAATGCAAATCCTATGGAAGATGCAATCCCTTGCCGTCACTATAGAAAGAAGAAAGAGAAACGCCCAAGGGGCACCATGCAAGCTATCAACAATGAACGAAAAGCATCAAAAGTCCTTGGCATTGTTTTCTTTGTGTTTCTGATCATGTGGTGCCCATTTTTTATTACCAATATCCTGTCAGTTCTCTGTGGGAAGTCTTGTAATCAAAAGCTGATTGAAAAGCTTCTGAATGTGTTTGTTTGGATTGGCTATGTTTGTTCAGGAATTAACCCTCTGGTGTACACTCTTTTCAACAAAATTTACCGAAGGGCTTTCTCCAACTATTTACGCTGCAACTATAAACCGGAAAAAAAGCCCCCTGTTAGACAGATCCCTAGAGTTGCAGCCACTGCTTTGTCTGGGAGAGAGCTTAATGTTCACATTTATCGCCATACCAATGAACCTGTGATTAAAGAAGCTAATGACAATGAGCCTGGTATAGAAATGCAAGTTGAGAATTTGGAACTACCAGTTAATCCCTCCAATGTGGTTAGTGAAAGGATTAGCAGTGTTTAAGAAAAGAGTGAAGCACAGCCTTTTCCTACAGTGAAGCTACAAATGTAGGAAAAAGTTCTCTAATCTTTCTGTAGGTTATAACTACTGTAAATACTGCTGTCTAAAAAAAAAGGGTTTATATATAGCTTTGCAACCCTGTAGTTTACAATCATCCATGAAATAGTGAGATTTAGAGTCCTATATTTACTGTTTATAAGAGATTGAGTATAATTTATTTTGATTCTTTAATGTATAAAATATTAGCATTCCCTCCCTCCCCCTTTCTCTCTCCTTTTTCCCTCCTCCCTGTTTCTTTTGTGCATAATGAAATGTTGATATTCACCTCAGGTGGCATTTGCAGGAGACCAGAATGATGCACATGATATTGGTTATATTTGTACCACACCAAGATAACAAATTCAGTGGAAACATTTTCCAGATTAACAGTAAATATACACTTTAAAGTCTTGCTCTGCTCATCTATACACAAACACAGTAAGATAGGTTCTGCATTCTGACACTCTATTGCACCGATTAGTGAATCAGAGGCAGGACTTAGCCTTGTTGTCACATTTAGGGGCAAAATTTGACATTGTCAGAATGTTGTGTTGGTATTTTACTACAATGTCTGTCCCCAAACATAGTGGTATTTTATCATAGCAGCTGGTTAACCAGGACTACAGAAGTGGAAGGATGATATGAGATACACACACCAGTAGCTTTTCACTTCTTAAGGACAATGTTCAAATTCTGATTATGACAAGCAAACTGAAATTAGTGTTTTCATTCTGGTCCTTAGTAAATATATAATTTCATAATAAAACTGGGAAATGAGATCCCAGAGTAATTTCCCAATCCAGGATCCAATACCAATTGGGTTTTGATCTTGGGATCCTGGAAATTCGTGTGCTACACACAAAGTGAAATTAGCATTTGAGCCTTATTAAAATATTTTCTTAATTCTGGTACCTCTATCTATAGGACCTAATTTTAGCAGTCCGTTTTTGAGTAAAACTTGTGTTGGAAGCATAGATGATAAAAATCTTGGAAGTTTTACTCGATTAAGGACTACAAAATAAGGTCCTTAGAATGTAAAAAAAAGTAATTTAAAAACAAGCTGTTACTGGATTCTGGAAATAACAGAAATACAGAGTTTCCATTGGGATTTTAAACAAAAATTATCTCATTTTCAGATCCTTCCAGACTCTCTAGTGCAGGAAAAGGCTGCAGCTAATTTGTGGAAGTGAGAAGCTCTTCATTGTACTGCAGATATATTACAAAAGTTTAAATTCGTATTAAAATATATTGTCATGTTACAATAAGTGTTGGCCATTGTTTCATTTGTGGGCCTGCTACACTAAGAACTCATAACCATTTTACCTTGAAAGGTTTTCAAGCATTGTTAAAGTAAAAACATTAAGTCTATGCTATGTGCAGAGTATACAAGTGTTTTTAGTAACTCTATTTCCAGGTGTTTCCATTTCACACAACTGTGGCTCAATTTCTGAATAACTCATGATGCTATTTCTTATACCTGACAGTTACTTATTCACCTTAGAGTGTGCCTCTCAGTTCTGGAAATCGGTGAAGGTAGAATCTGAATTTCTAAACCCTCTGATGTGTGTCCTAAACACATAGCATAGATAAGCAGTCTGCCACAGAGTCAGTAGGAAGGCTAATATTTAGGAAATGCAGTCTCTACTTGATTTGCAACACTGCCAGATATCAGTCAGTTGCTTGAGCATGCCCAAATAAAACAGGAAAGTCTTACTACCTGTTAGGTCACTTGAACTGCATGTTAAACAATTATCGAATGAGATCATCTAATTCTTCCTGAGATGAAAATGTCTGAAGAAACATAGCATGCAATGAGCATGAATTCAGCACATATAGGCGGTGACATGCATGTACACCCTGTGTGTTGCATGGATCTGTTGATTTTCATTATGCAGGGCAGAGTAGGTGATATGATAAGGACTGAGAAGAATCTTCAGCAGTCCTTTTAAAGACAACGCATTCAGATCTGAAGTACAGTCAGTATGAGAAAAAAAATGAAAACATCTGGTCTCTTAACTATCAGGGCAAGCTCATAGCACATGTTTTACAAAGAAATAAAATATAAACCACGGATTTTAAAAAGCACTAGCAATAAGTTGAATGATAAAAGCGTAGAGCACATTTGTTAATACTTCTTATGTAATCAAGTATTAGTACTTAATAGTACCCAACAAAATATCCTGAAATTGTGTGCTATTCATACATTCTGTGCAGTTTGGTATGAAACAAATATACTCATTTGGATATAAATCTTACAGTTTAATGTTAAATCTGCAAACTTTTATAAATGTTTTAAGAAGTCCTTGTGACAAATGTAACTGTGGTGAATTTATTGTCAAAAATCATTTTGATGTACTATTATATGTATAAGTGTATGAGACATGTGCAACAGACTGCCTTATATTATTTCCTGTTAATCTCCTCTGTCAAATGGTACTTTTGTGAGTTGTCACAAAATAATTCTTATTCCTAGTTATTGTGTGTTATCCACCCTGTTTTGTGATACTTCCCATTAATTTATTAAATTTATTAAATGTTGGCTAACATGTAATGTGATTTTTCCCCTTCGTCTTTTTTTGGGGGGGGCGGAATATAGGACTTCATTTAATTTTCTTTAAAAAATGAATTGAATCATAAAATAATTTTACAAAGACCAGCAGAGCACAACTGAAAAAATAATTACTCTGATTAAGTCTGTGGATAGTCAAAAACTAAAACTCCAGAAGAAATATAGTGAAGACATCAGAATAACAGTAATGGCACTGATTCCTCATGAGCATAATAACAACAACAGTCCAAAATGTCCCTGTACTCCTAACCTAACAAGGGTCTGGGTGACACACATGTTTTCTTTGTTATAGGTGCCATTGTCATTTGTTATTGTCAGATTGCAAAGTCCCAAGGATAGCAAGAACTTGATTTTATCACCAGTAGTTATTATCTACATTTAACATATATGTATATATGCATCACTATATGTGGGTATTGATTACATTATTTGCCATTTTAAAGTGGCCAATACAACTTCGGGAACTTCAGGCTTTCAATATGGATCACATTCACCAACTTCTTTGAATACCTGTGCAATTATCAGGGTCATCACACTAAACAAATTTTTCCTTTGGAGCTAGGAATGACAAAATATATTGACTATGCTCTGACTTGCTTTCCCATTTCTTCACCTTTTTTCCCCTCTCCTTCCCTCTTCTCCCTATAACTTCCCTGGCCATTTTTCACCTTCTTTTCCTTCCCCTTTCTTCCCCTTCCTCTTTTTCCCCCTTCCCTCCCTTCCTTTTCCTCCCCTCCCATTTCCTTTCCTCCCTTCCCCTTCACTTCCCCATCTGATTTCTTTCCTTCCCTCCACTTCCATTCCTATTCCCATCCTGTTCCCTTCCCTCCACTTCCATTCCTATTCCCATCCTGTTCCCTTCCCTTCCCTTCCCTTCCCTTCCCTTCCCTTCCCTTCCCTTCCCTTCCCTTCCCTTCCCTTCCTTTCTTCCTTTGATGGGGCCACCCAAACAGGGGTCACGGATCCTGTGGGCCACTCTCAGTTATACTTGGCAGAGGTCATAGTGCTCCTTGGGTTTTAAAGTGTTGGAGTTCACCCTTGCCATGTTCAGGGGCCACAAGGTTGATGATTGGAGGCTATCAGAGAGATAATGGTTGATGCTCAAAGGCCAATGCAGTGTTGTATATTGAAGAGGAATTCTATGCATGCAAAGCATGTGCCCCAACCCCTGTTCTATCTTCCCAGTACATTTGACTTTTCTTTAAACATGCATAAATTCTTTAATTTGGGTGAACCTAAGTTATAGATGATAATGAAAAAAAAAAAACAGTTTCCTTCCAAGAAAGCAAGAGTACCTTATTCCTTTGCAACTAATCTTAAAATGATTTCTACGAGTGGTTAGTACATAAAGGCTGAATTGTGCTTAAAACAATATTAAAAAAATAGCTGCCCATGGCCAGCACATATTTTACTGCTGAAGCTAAGGACTACTAATACTTAGGAGCTAAGCAATAAGGAGACTGCAACTTCTTTTTGAAGAGGTTTTTTTGGGGCGCCACATCCTGTAGTAATCAGGGATTCCCAGCTTGGTAGTGAACCATGTGGTACTTACTGGGTATGCAGCCCAGAACTCCAGCATGTAAAACATAAGCTCCAGCACTTTGAGCTATCTTCCCAGCTCTAAGGAGAGAACTGAATATACTTTTTAAAAAGGTATTTTTATAAAGCAATACAAACAGGTGAGAGTGGAATTATAGAGATTTTCAAAATTCATGTGACCTGTTTCAGGCTTAAAAGCACAAATAACTCTCAGACACAAGCTGGTTTCCTGAGATACAAATTATAAAACAGTCAAATATTCAGAAATCTTGGTGAAAGTTAATCTTTAAAGGATTCATATGCAAAGGGAAAGGAAAGATAACTCAACTGAGTAGAGGGAGAAGATGAATTATGATGTTACAATTAGGACTTACTCCCCCACATCTTTTCTTTTTTTTTAAAGAAGGAATACACTTCAAGATTTTAATGGTCATTTACAAGAAATTCACAGTCAATAAAATACTCAATGGTGAAAACTGAAAAGATCTATGATCATGCATGGGTTCAGGGTGTTGACATCTCAACTATTACTCAAATATAGTTTTGAAAATCCTGAGTGCAGCAATCAGGCAAGAAAAAAAGTCAGAGATTCAAATTGGAAAAGATGTTAAATTATCACTAGTTACAGATGGCACTATACATTTGCAAGTAACTTTAAATAATCCATTAAAAATCTCTTAGAAACAATAAACCAATAAAGCAAATTGGCTACAATAAACCAATAAAGCAAAGGCTACAATTCAATGCACAAAAATCTGTTTCATATCTTTTTATAAAACAATTAAACTATAAGAGAGATAAAAAGAAAATCATATTTAAAAACCACCAAAAACCTATAAATTAACAGAGGGTGCAAAAGAGGTATATATCAATAACTGTAAGTTAGAATTGAAAGTGATGCAGTCAGAATCACCTCACTGAGTCTGAATAGTCTGAACTCATGCATGGTCTGGCACTTTTTAGACACTGAGCAATATTCTGTGCCCCTATATCTTACTTTTAAATTCTTATTTTTCAATAAGTGATGGTCCTTCAAAATAAGTCTCTCTATAGACTGGAGAGGGTATTACAGAGAGATTACTCTGCATGCTGCTGACCTGGGTTTGATTCTTGGCACCCCATATGATCCCCACGCCTGCCAGGAGAGATCCCTGAGTACAGAACCAGGAATAAGACTTGAATACAGTAAGTGTGACCCCTCCTCCAAGATAAAAAAATGTGTCTACTATCTTTCTGGCCTCTTTTTTTTTATAGATTTTAAACTTTATTTTTAGCTTTCAACTACTATGTTATTCTAATAAAATATGACTTAAAAAGAGTTAAATTTTAATCCAAATATATTGATTTATAAATTATTTTGCAATATCATTTTATTTCAGGCTAACAACTTCTCTTAAACACATTCTTCCAGCGCAAACTATACCCTTCCCTTCTTGAGATACAGAGATACCTTAACAACTGAAAATATTATTATCCAGCCTTATTAGTCCTGAATATTTATCCAAATAATGTAACATAATTTCGGGTGGGAAAGGGGAGTATACCGGAGATATTGGTGGTGGGAAATGTGCACTGGTGGAAGGATGGGTGTTTGATCATTGTGTGATTGTAACCCAAACATGAAAGCTTGTAACTATCTCACGGAGATTCAATATAATAATAATAATAATCAATTAAAAAAACACTATTTCAGAAGAATATATGAATCTCTATCTTTAAACATTATTCATAATAACAAAGATTTGAAAACAACCTAAAAATTGTTCACAGATAACTAGATAATAAAAAGTTATAATACACATATTCAAGAGGTAAAGTACTAACAAGGCATGGTATAAATGCTCAAGGGAATACTTGTAACCTATGAGGGAGTGTGGGGTGGGAATAAACAAATTTTGTGACAAAATGGAAGGAACTTGAAGTGATTATACTTAGCCAAAGAATTCAGAAATAATAACAATTGCTAGATGGTTTATTTGATATGAAGAATATAAGTAGCCAAAGAAAATAAACTTAAGAGTATGGCAAATATAATTCTTAGATTTTGTGGAACACATCTTTTCTTTTAAAGTTCAATTAAATTCTGTCAGTAAGTTCAAAAAGAGAACCAGAGATATTGATCAGTGGTTAACACTAGTGCCTTGCATCTTGCCAAACTAATTTCTAGTCCCTGGCATCACATTTGGCCCCCCATGCACCCCCAAGAGTCACTTAATGGGCAAAGAACCAGGAAAAACTCCCACGCACTGCAAAGTGTGGTGCAATACCTACCCCTCTCTAACAATTAGTTCAAAAGGAAGCACAGGCAGAGCTTATCACTATTCCTCATTAATTCTACACATCTCAAAGTCTATATACCAGCAGAAAGGTGATTATAGGTGTGAACAATAAAATATGTGTTATGCTTGCCAGATTCCCATGGAATATTTGACTCCAGAACATTTTAGTATTTGTTCCCAGTTAGTGAGAGAGTGTCAGATATATCTCCTTCGACTAAGACAGATGCATGACTATATGCAACAGTATAAATGTTCCTAAAACTATAAATACATGATTTTTATTCAACAGAGGCAACTCCCAAAAGAGTCATGTAAGTAGTACTGAGAGATACCTCAAAGGCATGAGGGCAAAGTTTACATGCATGAAACCTCGATTCAATCCCCAGGACTACCTGGTCCAATCAGTACCACCATGAACAATCACTGAACACTGCAAGGTGTGGCCCCAAACTGAAATAGAGGTGGTAGATTTTCTGTAAAGAGTTACCCCAGTGCATGGGGAATAAGCCATTCAGCTCAAAGATGGAATATCCATAAAAATATGGTATTTTAGGGGTAAATAATTGGCTTCTATTTCACCACCTGGGTGAAAATCACTTCAGTTAAAATCAAGGCACATGCAGATGAAAAATCCTATGTTTGATCTGTGACTTCTTTATTAGGTGTGTTCTCATTTCAAGAGTTTGCCATAAATCTTAGATTTATGGATCAATTTGCAGGGGACAAATAAACTCCAAAGTCATAGTGGCTTAGCAAAGCAAACAGCTGCTTTTGTGCTCATACTCCATGTCCAATAAAGGTTGCCAGGAAACCTCTTCATATTGTAGTTTCACAAGAAAAACAAACACTGGTAAACACTCATCTTTACTTGTATTTCCATATAATAGAAGGAAGGGAAAATAGCAAACCTATTTTTTCACTATGGATGGATATGTCGTTCCCAATTTTCTCCCTTCGGAAATTCAACACGCCATCTCGTTGGTAAAGAAACAAAGAGCACCTGGCCCAGACAAGGTCAGAACTGAACACCTGAAGAACTTACCATCAGTACTCATCAATACACTGGCTCGGATCGTCACATGCTACCTGTCTGAATGCACCATCAACCATATCCACACGATAACTAAGCTCATTGAGGTTTCTCAGGAGTT